GAGTGTTATGGTGTGTGAAGAGAGTGCGAAAAATTTGATGTTCACTGATCGGTCTCAGCTCCGAGCCACAACTCACGCGAGTTCACATCACCACTGGTCCAACAAAAAGCAGTTCCGGGTCCTCCTCCCCCTGCGCACGGTTAACAGTCTACTGCAGTGCGGGTGCGACCGGATCTCTTTGAGGGTACCGGAGTGGTGATGTTCACAAAGTGTGAGTTTTGGCTTGGAGATGAACATCGAACATGTTCACGACGTGAACCGCAACAACTGTGGCGATAGAGTTAGGGGCCACTAGTGATTACGGCGAGTGCGGGCAGTCTTCGGCAGTTAGGCGTGAGGTGGTGACTATTTCAGATTGTCAGTTGCGGACCGAACCTAAGTTTGAGAACCGGCCGCGTGGGTCCTATTGTTGTTATCCCTGACAAACTCACATGACATCCGCCCTACCAGTCAAACACTCCACGCAGGTCTTCGTGCCCGCTCGTGTCGCACATGCACACCGGGCGCTCGCCGCCTGTCGTCGGATCCACAGCTTAGCGTCTTTGGGGCTGGGTTGCTTCGTCCTTTGAGCCTGCTGGATGTCCTGGTGATCTTCAGGCATACTCGCCCCGATGTCGACGCTCCGCAACGAGAAAATCCGCACCGGACACGTTTATTGAGGGGGTTTGGTTCGTCGTCCTTAGTTGGCGACCTAGGAAGATTCTACTACCACTATCAACTTGACAGCGAAGTAAAACTTTGGGCGCTCGCGTGTGCGACTGGGCCTCCGTTTTGGCGCAGAAGGCGGTTGTGTTGTTTTTTTGACCACGATGACTGCGTATAAATTCAAACATGCGAAGATCACAGTCGATTGCTATCAACGCAAGGACGTTCTGTACCAAATCCAGATTGCGGCTGATTTGATGGATGCTAAGTCAGAGGAGGCATTTATGGCGTGCCTGGCTACCGAGGAAGGTGCTAACAAGATGATCGAGTTGATAACGCAGTTAAACTTTGGGCCTTCGCGTGCGCGGTCCATTCTGTATGCGGTCGCTAA